GCACGCATAGATGAGCGGGAGAAAGATCCAAGAGAACATCGAGCACCCATCCCAACCTGGGACAGCGCTGCCGCCCAGTGGGTGATATCAATGTTCGCGCCTGGAAACAGGCGCAGCATGGCAGACAAGTCAGCGACGAATGGCGCGACTTTGGCAAGAGCAGCAGGGGTGCTTGAAGGAGAACAGGCACCAGCAGGGACACCAACCTCAGGGGCTGCAGGCCCCCTGGAGGGCGCGCTCGACTGAGGCAATCGTCGGCCAAAATGGCCGAAGGGATCCGAGAAGCGGTTCGGAGCAGAGCGAAGGGCGTGGTGGCGGAACGTACTCCTCCCTGCGGGGCCGCAACAGCATCGCTGGAAGAGCGCATTCCTACCCTCGCGCCCTCGCTGAGCCCAAACGCGCTTAGCAGCCGCAACAGCGTCGGTGCAGACTGTGTGCGGCGGCGTACCCCGGCCCCGCGAAGGCCCACCCTTCCAGGAGGCGGGCGCCAAAGGCGCCCTCAGTCCTTCTTGGGCACCGCCTTCGGTGCCTTGGACGCACCCTGGGACTTGGAGGGCGGCTTCGAAACCTTGGGCTGCTTGGGCTGATGAGGTGGATGCTTGGGGAGCGCGACGGCGCGCTCGGCGTCGAGACGCGCCCGAAATGCTTGCAGCTCCTTCACGTATTTGCCCTGCGCCGACAGCCAGCGAGGATCCACCAGGGGTGAAAACGGGGTCTGGGCCTCGCGCTCCGTGTGACGACTGGTCACGCGACACGGGGGAGGCTCCAGCCCCGTAAGGAACCAGGCGGCCTCGAGATCGCCGCGGTCCCCCGCCAGCTGGTCGATGAACATGCACTGACACGTCAGTAAAGTCTGGACTCTCTCGGGGTTGCCCTCTTCGCAGGCCCGCCACAGCTCGGCGCTGAGGAAGGCGAAATGCGTCAACAACTCGTGCGTCGTCGGCTGAGCCCCCACGGGACTGTGCTCCCGAAAATACTGATGCATGGCCATGGGGGTCACGGCGCTGACTTCCACGCCCAGGACACGGGCCAAATTCTCCTTCATCAGTCCTCGCACTTCGGGGCCGTGCTGTAGCAGCGCTTGCTGCCACTCGCGCCTCCGAGCAATGCCCCCCATCTGGGCCGATGCGGGCGCGGGGTCGCCCGAGCTCGTGGGCGGTATTTGAGCTGAGTCGCTCAGGGTCCCCAGAAGCGGATGGGCGGTTGGGCGATGGCCCCGCCCCTGCTGCAATAGGAGGGACTGGTGCAGGCACTGTAGCATGAGGCTGAAGTCCGTCGGATTGGCCGCATGGGGCGGCTCTGACCCGTCGGCGCCGCCCGCCTCGGCAAAGCCGTCGACCGCAGCGGGATGGGCTAGCCCAGGTGGCGGCGGGGGACCCATCGGTCCGAAAACGGACGAAGGGGCCCGAGGGACAGCAAGAGAGCGCGCCTTTTCCCACGCCGAGACCAGCGCGGAGGTCGGACCCTTGGGACGCGCGGAGACCCGCTGTGGGGCCACGGGCGCGTGAGACAGGACGGCCTCGATCCCCGCAGGATCCAGCCCGAGGCGCGCCGCTTCGTCGCTGAAAAGCTGAGGCACCTCGGGCCGATCGCTCCGGGCAGCCGGGGCGGGGCCCAGCGGCTCGGGTCTGCCGACCATCGTGGAGGCCGCGTGGGCTGCAAGCAAGGCGCGCATTTCGGCAGCTACTTCGGCACGGGTCATGGGAGCCCCGTCGTCCAGAGACGCCGCAGGGGCACCAGGAGCGATCGGAGCGGGACCCGCGACCCGTGGCGGGGCGGCGGTGCCCGCGCGCTTGGCGGGCGGGCCGCGCGGCACTCCAGCGTCCGCGGGAGATCGCGCACTTGGGGCCGTGCGGTCGGCTTCCCCGTCGGCCGCGAACCCCTCGGGCTCCTCCATCTCGTCGGCAGAGTGATAGGGAGTAGCCCGATCGGCCCCTGGGAGCGGCTCTTCTCCTGCAGTAGGCGGGGCGCCGTGCAAGCGTGCGTAGCCCTCGCGAAGCACCCGAACCCCCGAAGGATGTGGCCAATAGACGCGGCCCCGCACCTCGGCAAAGGGAACGATGACTGCGTCCTCCCCGACCTCTAGAGGGTAAAGCGACTCGAGCTCGAGCTCTGCAACCTCGATGTCTACGACGAGGACGGATGCAGTAGTGGCGAGCGGCCGTGAAGCGGCCCCCTGGAGCTGGACGTCCACTAGCTGGAAAGGGCCTATCATTCCTGCAAAGCCATCCGCCTCGGCAGCCACGAGCTCCGCCGTAGAGCGAAAGGCGCCAGGCAGGGCCAGAAGGACGCCCCCTTCTCGAGACGCGAGGGGGATAGCTGCCCAGCTGGTGTCGCCGTCGTCTAGGCGCCATCGTGCGTAATCGCGAGCCGTGGGAGCCGCGAATGGGTAGAGCTCGGGCCATAGAGGCCCTCCGCCAACTGGTGGCAGCTCAGCCATCAATGGGCGCTGTCGTGGGAACTGCCGCCCGAATGCTGGGCGTCTGCCCGCTCGAGCGCTCGAGGCCGAGGCGGAACCCCGTAAGCCAGCGCTCGCGCCGCACGGCGGTCCTGCTCAGGGGAAGCAGGAACCGCACCGCGCGGCCAGGCGGAGGCCCTGAGCCTCCGCCGCACGTACGGGCCCAGCAGCCCGAAGCAGCAGCCTGCGCAGGCGCTGCACGCGGCCGTCACCCAAAGGAGGGCGACGACCGTGCTGAGCAGCCAGGGAGTGACCCCGCCGCTCAGATCCACCGCCAGCCCGAGGCAGACGGTGGGGCAGGCGGAACCCGCCGAAGGGAGGGGGCAGTAAGCCCCCTCACCCTCGGACGTGTCCGCCTGCTGGATGGACCAGGCAGGCGCAGGAGGCCCTTGGTCCTGAAGCACAGAGAGGGGGGCAGACACGAGCCGCTCGTAGAGCGCGGCCCGCAGCCCCCTGAAGAAGATCTCCCCAGCGCCCCCGAGAGCCGCTTGTGCGACCGCCTGCATAAGGCGTCCGCACGCGCGGCCGACGGGGGGGCACTTGGGCAGAGAAGCTGCGGAGACAGCAGGAGCTTGCTCACAGAGAATAGAAGAAGCATGATGATGATGATGATAATGATGATAATGATGATAATGATGATGATGATAATGATGATGATGATAATGATAATGATGCTGCTGCTGCTGATGATGATGATGATGATGATGATGTTGATGCTGATGCTGATGCTGATGATGATGATCATGATGGTGAAGATGCTGATGATGATGATGATGATGATGAGGAGGAGGAGGAGGAGGAGGAGGAGGGGGATGATGATGATGATAATGATGATGATGATGATGATGATGATGATGATGATGATGATGATGATGATGATGATGATGATGATGATGATGATGATGATGATGATGAGATGAGGAGGAGGAGGAGGAGGAGGAGGAGGAGGAGGAGGAGGAGGAGGAGGAGGAGGAGGAGGAGGAGGAGGAGGAAGGGGGGGTAGGGGGATGGGGGAAGTCTTCTTAGAAGGCGACTGCTTCTTTAGGGGCCGCAGGCTCGCATCTACAGACAGGGGCCCGCCGCTTCCAAGAGGCAGGGGTGCGTCCAAGAAAGCCTTCCCCCCTCTAGGCGCGTGGCCGATCCTTCATCGGGTGGAAGACCTCCGTCTGACGCGTCGACGCAACCACACCGTTGCAAATTCTCGTCGTGACGGATGCTGAAGGAGTCCTGGGAGGCCGGAGTAGAAGGACCGCCCCTGAGGTGAGATGAGGAGGAAGAGGAGGCGGAGAGGAGGGGAGGAGGAGGGAGGAAAAAGGATTGAGGATCCATCCCGTCCACTTCCCCACCTCCAGCTCTTATTCCTCCTCTTTCTCCTCCTCCTGCTCCTCCTCCTCCTCCTCCCCCTCCTCCTTCTCCTCCTCCTCCTCCTCCTCCTCCTCCTCCTCCTCCTCCTGTCGCGCGAGGGCGGGGCGGCCTTCTGCGAGGGCGCGGGGGGGCCCTCTCGGGAGGCAGGCCCGCCAGGCAGGGCTCCGGGGAGCTGCCGAGCAGGCCCCCCCCGCCCGACCCGCACGCTCGCCCGCATGCTCTCCCGCACGATTTCCCCGGCCCAGGGGGGAGGGGCCCGCTGCAAGCTCCAGGAAGGAGGAGGAGGAGGAGGAGGAGGAGGAGGAGGAGGAGGAGAAGGAGGAGAATTAGGAGGAGGAGGAGGAGGACGACGAGGAGGAAGAGGAGGGGGTAGGAGGAGGCCTTGGCCGGCGACCCGGTGGCTTCTCGCACGGTCTTCCGGCATAGTCTCCTGCACGGTCCGCTGCAGCCTCCCAGGTGGTCCCCCGCACGGTCTTCCGCGTGTGCAGTAGGGGCCCGACCAGAAGAAACCTTCCACAAGAGACCCAACCCTGAGACCCCAGGACGTCCATCGATGCTTGGTGTGAGAACTTCACGCTTTCCATAACAAAACCATCGAAGCCCCTGAAACCCAGGGCACCAGGGTGTTTCTTGGCATGGGCCTCCACTGCACGTCTTGGGGCGAAGCGAGGAGGACGCCAGGGAAGGGGATGGCTTGCTAGGGGGTCGGTCAGGCCGCCCGTTGACCATCCGCCGCGAGGGGGCCATCTTTTGCTTCCGCCGCCTTCAGCCGCCTTCTGGCCGCGCGGCCGCCCCCGTCTTGCTTTCCGCCGCCCGCCGCCGGCCGTCCGCACGGGCCGCGCCCGTGTGCGTCGCGGCGCTGCCCGCCTGCGGCGGCCACACGCCCGTACTGACGAGCATGCCGTGTGACCCCTGGCGGGGAGCCCTCGAGGGGCTGGCGTGCTCCCGTGCTGGTCCCGTGACCCCACGCGGGGCTCGGAGGCCTCGTGTTCGCCGCGACCGCCGCTCCAAGACAGAGCCCCTGTGACGCGACCACAATGGACGGCACCACATCCTCCCACCGCCGTCCGCCCAGGAAGATGGTTCAATCCCTCGGAAAATTGAAGGCGAGGCTCCTTCTGGAGACCCCCTGCTGCAGAGCTCAACGCGCAGGCTGTGTGAGCGTGTTTTGTTCTTCCTGCCCGCCCACGGGTCCATGCCGATGCTGCCGAGGTTGTCCAGGCACTTCATCATGAAGAGGTCCTCGCCCCAGGTCTGCCACTCCATGGCCCTGCACCTCTGGATGCCCTCGAAGTACTTTTCGACTGCCACCTTCGTGAGCGCCTCCATCGCCCCGAACATCATGTTCTTCATGCCGTTGTCCTTGTGGCACGTCTTCACATACGCGAAGAGCTCGTCACCCAGGTGGGTGTCCTCCCTAACTTTTGCCAGGGACCCCCGGAGCCTGTCCGGCAAGATGACAGCATCCGGGTCGGTCTTGATCGTCCAGCCGTGGGCCTTCCACTTGTCAAGACCCTGAGACGGCAGAGGGAGGAAACGGGAGGAGAAGGAGAAGATGCAGGGATGGCATCTTCTTCATTATTCATCTCTCGTCCTCCTCTGCCTCCTCGTCTCCCTCCGCCTCTGAGCCCTCCTCGTCATGCTTCTCAACATCCCTCCTCTCTTTCCTTCCTTCCCCGTTTCTCTTCATGTCTGCCTCCTCCTCCTCCTCCTCCTCCTCCTCCTTCTCCTGCGTTTTTGTTTTCCTATCGGGTCCTTGACCGCTTCCCAGACGTTCATGAAGAGCTCTGCGTTGCCAGCCGTCCCGTCGCGCGACACCCCAACCTCGGCCGACTTGAAGGGCACCATCTCGCCGCCGAGCTCGTCGTCGAGGGTGAAGCCCTCGTCGTGGGTCATCATGGCCTGGTCCTCGCATGCGAAGATGCCCGCCCGCTTCCTGAGCTGATTCCGCATGATATCCACCTGGGCGGAAGGGGAGGACGACGAGGAGGGTGTGTCCGTATGTTCTCCTGTTCATGTCGCATGATTATGTTGTCTTTCGCGCTCGGGGCACGATGCTCAGGCTGCCTCGTGCCACGGCTCGGATGTTGCAAAGCCACACCAGCGCGTTCCTTTTGAATCCTTCGGGAGCTGGGGTTTGATCCAGAAAAGATCAAAAAAAACACGGACGAGAAGGAGGAGAAGGAGGAAGCCGACGACGAGAGTGAGGCGTAGGAGGAGGCGGAGGGGGAGGCGGAGGAGGAGGAGGAAAGTAGGAGGAGGAGACTAGAAATGTGAACAAACATGGTGAAAACGGATATTTCCAGTGCTGCCTTCAGCGGTGTGAAGCGAGTACTGCATCGGGTGCGGTAGGCATGCCTGGACCCCACAATGGCCGCAGCGGGGAAAGCCTGTTTGCACCCATCCATTACTGTTATAAGTCGGGCCTGTCCCCCTACAGGGGAATTTTGGATGACAAATTAAGAATACCAAACAAAAATGAACCCCCAAATGGTCACACAAGTATTTTTAAAAAATCGTCCCCTGACTATTCTTTGACTACTTTTGAATATCCCCCCTGCAGAGGGACAGGCCCGACTTACCACTACTGCCGCGCTGCTCAAAGGCTATACGTGCCCTGTCAAGGTACCTGGCGACTGGGCCGGCGGGGCCCGGACTGCCCCCTTCTAGGGGCGAGTCACCTGCCGCGGCGGAGCGGACGAGCAGCACGAGTGTAGAGCATGCAGGGCGGGACTGAAGGGCCCCAAGGACACACAAATAAATACACACAAATAAACATATTCCCCATATTCTCCCATATTTCCCAACCCTCCTGCGTTGGGTACTCGTTTTGAATAGAGCACTGTGGTCTCCATTCCTCCCGCCCCCTTTCCTCCTCTCTTCGTTCCTGCTCTCCTCTCTTGCTTCCCTTCTCCTCCTCTCTTTGCTCGTCCTCTTCTCGCTTGCCTTTTACCTAGCTTGCCCCTCGCCATCCCTGGGGGGCGGCGATCTGCGAGACTGTCGTCACTTTCGAGGGCTGCTGGGGTGGCCAGCGGAGTGACGCCCCACGGGGATTCAGATTAGAATTCGCAATCCCTGGGGGGCTGCGATCTGTGAAACTGTTGCCACTTTCGAGGACTGCTGGGGTGGCCAGCGGAGTGACGCCCTACGGGGACTCAGATTAGACCTCGCCATCCCTGGGGGGCTGCGATCTGCGAAACTGTCGCCGCTTTCGAGGGATGCTGGGGTGGCCAGCGGAGTGACGCCCTACGGGGACTCAGATTAGACCTCGCCATCCCTGGGGGGCTGCGATCTGTGAACTTGTCGCACTTTCGAGAGGCCTCCGGCTGGGGTGGCCAGCGGAGTGACGCCCTACGGGGACTCAGATTAGACCTCGCCATCCCTGGGGGGCTGCGATCTGTGAAACTGTCGCCACTTTCGAAGGCTGCTGGGGTGGCCAGCGGAGTGACGCCCCACGGGGACTTAGCTTAGACCTCGCCATGTCTGGGGGGCTGCGATCTGCGAAACTGTCGCCACTTTCAAGGGCTGCTGGGGTGGCCAGCGGAGTGACGCCCTACGGGGACTCAGATTAGACATCGCCATCCCTGGGGGGCTGCGATATGTGAAACTGTCGCCACTTTCGATGCCTGCTGGGGGGCCCGGCGGAGTGACGCCCTACGGGGACTCAGATTAGACCTCGCCATCCCTGGGGGGCTGCGATCTGTGAAACTGTCGCCACTTTCGAGGCTGCTGGGGGGCCCAGCGGAGTGACGCCCTCCGGGGATTCAGATTCGACCTCGCCATCCCTGGGGGGCTGCGATCTGTGAAACTGTCGCCACTTTCGAGGGATGCTGGGGGGCCCAGCGGAGTGACGCCCTACGGGGATTCAGATTAGACCTCGCCATCCCTGGGGGGCTGCGATCTGTGAAACTGTCGCCACTTTCGAGGCCGCTGGGGGGCCCAGCGGAGTGACGACCTACGGGGATTCAGATTAGACCTCGCCATCCCTGGGGGGCTGCGATCTGTGAAACTGTCGCCACTTTCGAGGGCTGCTGGGGGGCCCAGCGGAGTGACGCCCTACGGGGATTCTGATTAGACCTCGCCATCCCTGGGGGGCTGCGATCTGTGAAACTGTCGCCACTTTCGAAGGCTGCGTGGGGGGCCCAGCGGAGTGACGCCCTACGGGGATACAGATTAAACCTCGCCATCCCTGGGGGGCTGCGATCTGTGAAACTGTCGCCACTTTCGAAGGCTGCTGGGGGGCCAGCGGAGTGACGTCCTACGGGGACTCAGATTAGACCTCGCCAGCGCTGGGGGGCTACGATCTGTGAAACTGTCGCCACTTTCGAGGGCTGCTGTGGGGCCCATGAAACTGTCGCCACTTTCGAGACCTGCTGCGGGGTCCAGCATAGTGACGTCCTACGCGGACGCAGATTGGACCCGTCATTCTACTTCGATTATCCCGCATCTGCGATCGACTGTATGTGTGCGAGGAACTAGACATGGAGTGGTCTGGCACTGACTGACGTCAAATCGTTGTGTGCCAGTGTCTCCTGGGGTGTTGCCTGATGTGGATGCAGCTCGTCGGCGCTGCGACTCGAGCTGGCGGTCGTCCTTCGGACCCGCAGAAACATCTGCTGAGCTCGATGAGCTAGGGGAACTACAGGAAAGAAGTGCAGGAAACGGAGGCCGGTCATGCACTCGCCGATACCTCGTTGCTCTGTCATCGTCTTTGCTGTTGCATGATCCTTATCTGGCCTGCCGGCGCCGCGGCTCGAGCTGGCGGTCGCCCTTCGGGCCCGCGGGAACATCTTCTGAGACAAGTGGACGCCGCCGCCTTACTTGCAGGCAGCGCACTGCATTCGCGGACAGCAGCATGGCAGACCGCAGTGAGATCCTCAGTCGCGTGGTGTTGCCAAGCCTGGTGGAGACGCGCGTGATTGACCTGAAGTCCCAATCGCGCGTGCACTGTACCTGCGTGGCGTTCAGGCACGCGCGTGATGCTGCTCGCACCGCGTTCAACCAGTACGTCGCCAGTGCAACTTTGGACGATGGACAACCGATTGATGATACGCGACCCCGGCCTTGAGTTTCTTTCCCGCGGGCCGCCCGCAGACCTGGCGGCGCGCCTGCGAGCGTTCAGCTCCCGCGCTGAAGTGTGCGGGAAGGAGGCGGAGAAGCTAGCGGGCGAGCTACGCCTCGCTCGTTCCTTGCACTCTAACCAAGTTTTATCATGTGGAACTCTGCGACGACATGGCGCAGGCAGCGCTGCGGGTTTAGCTCGCACTTGAAAAACGCGGCAGTCTTCTGTCTCCTCCCGCCACTTTCATCGTCGTCCTATTCCCCGCCTCACCTTCTCCATGCATGCTGATGCTTCCGCGATGGCCTTTCGCCCCCCCCGCCCTCCATTCCATCCCTCTCCTACCCCTCGTTCCCGTGCCCGTTCTTCTTCGATCCTGGGGCCTCAAGCCTCGTTCTTTCGATCGTCGTCCTGTGAATCGTGCAACGCATGCGCATCCCATGTAGCTTGCACAGCAAATCGCCGCGTCTACACTGTCGTTGTTCCTGCTAATGTTGGCATACTCCTCTTGCCATTTGATGCACGTGGGTTGGGTACGTCGCAAGGTATTTTTTGGGGTTTTCGTCTTCCCCCCCCCGCACCCCACATTTTCCCATATTTTCTGGGCAATCGACGATGAATTGTGTCTGTGTGTGTCTTTCCCTTCTGAGGGATGTCGTAATCGATATTGTTGAACGGTCGCTGCCGGCACGGAGGAAAAAGCCTCGGGGCCGTGGCGGCGGGTGTGGTGGTGGAGCAAGATGCTCCAGTACCAACCAGACATGCAAAGCGGATGGTGAAAGCCGGATCTTTTCAAGGATGTGTGAAGCGATGTAGCAGGAGGCATGCCTGGAACCCAAATGGCCGCAAGGGGATGAGCCTGCCCGCACCCATCCATTACTGCTACGCTGCTGACATATGCTACACATGCCTTATCAAGGTAACCTACCATGCGAGTAGGAGGAGGAGGAGGAGGAGGAGGAGGAGGAGGAGGAGGAGGAGTCGAGCGTGCGGAATAAGATTGTATACACTTCTCGATTTGTGCGTGTCATCCTTGCGCAGGGGCCATGCTAATCTTCTCTGTATCGTTCCAATTTAACGGATGATCCCCGAAGGGAATCCAGGAGGAGGAGGAGGAGGAGGAGGAGGAGGAGGAGCAGGAGCAGGAGGGGCAACGGGACGGGGGTGGGAGGAGGGGAGAAACGAGGAGGAAAAACGAGGAGGCAGAGATGGAGCAGCGGCAGCAGCAACAGGAGCAGCGCCTGGGCAGGAGGGGAGACACGAGGAGGCCCTGGGCCCTCCTCGACCTCCATCGGCCCCCGATGCTCCCCGATTGTCCTCGACCCTCCTCGATCCCCAGAGATCCGGTGTCGTGACTTTTTCGATGCGGGGTCCCCGGAAGTCCCGACCCTTTCCGCGGGACTGGTTCTTCATCCTGAATCGATTCTGACGGTCCTGAGGCCCGGCGAGGGCCCCTAGAGGCCCAAAACCGCATCAAAAACCTCCGCCTTGATTTCTTCAATGCGTTGGATCTCTGGATCCTCGGTCCTCCTCTCTCACTGGGAGGCACCTCGTAGGTATCCTTGGTCACGACTGCGAAGCAGAAGAAGGTCACGGCGGTGTCCCACTGCCTCGGGGTGGCGCCGCCCAACGCCTTGCCGCCGTAACTGCCCCACCGGCACGTGGCCTCGCCGGGGGCACCGCCGAGGGCCCCCCCTTCCATCCTCCTCCTCCTCCCTCCTCCCTCCTCCCTGCTCCCTGCTGCCTCCTCCTCCTCCCTCCTCCCTCCTCCTCCTCCTCCTCCTCCTCCTCCTCCTCCTCCTCCTCCTCCTCCTCTTCCATCCTC